AAATATTTTTCGGAACGATTTGACAAAGACTCATAATTTTCGAGATACAGGGTGTAATGGATTCGAAGTTGTCAGGAGTTGACATTTGACATATATATAATTCCATGAATCGTAAAGAATCTGTGATCCTGCTGGTTGGAATAAAGACTCGTTCATTTGCCGGCCGACACGACAATGTGAGGTTGTTTCATTCCCTGAACCTCAAAACCTCAACCACGTGACCCTAACAACACGAGTACGTCCCAGGGACGTCCTTCATTTTCTAGGAGGACGTCCCTGGGATATCCTGTGTCGGGACATGGTACATACTAGGGACGTCCCAGGGACATCTGCTTTCCACAAAAAGAGGCATCCTAGGGATGTCCTTGTGGTACGTCCCTGGGATGTACCAAGTACGAAGAAAGGATATCCCTAGGACGTACCAAGGTTATCCCAGGGACATCCCTTCGACAAAAGAAAAAAAATGTAGGTCGAGTACGGATTGAACCCGGGACCTTTGACTTATCAGGCACGCATCTCACTCCATTGGCTATTGAGCCTCCTGAAGATTTATGTACTAGACAGATTTATAAACAGGACTTAACTACAGAAACCTGAATAAATACAACTTTGTCAGGATTTGGGTATAATTATTATATCATTCTTGGGTGTTTAAAAATGAGGGGCATTATGCATGTACGATTTCTGTTTGCGAAAAATGGTAAGTTCTGATACTTTATTCTTTATTTTCATTACGATTATTTTCCGGAAGAAAAACAAACATTTAAAAAAAAATGCAACTTTGATGAAATTCAATGACTCTGATGTGAATGGATATCAGATATTCCAGGGACACGAATAGGATAACCTAGGGATGTACCGGGCGGGATGTCCACTGGACAACCACTGCGCGACATCCCCTGGATGCCCCAATCATGTCCTTGTACCGCGGGACAAAAAAGGGACGTACCTAGGACATCCCTGTGTTGTTAGGGGAGTTCAATATAATTAGAGTATGTTTATGAAACACCACACAGAGTGTGTCGACATTAAAAAAAATGATTTTCATCCATTTCAGGAGAAAACTTTTTGAAAATTTTCTTCAGATTGGACCACGCACTTTTTATAGGTAAAATGGTTCCAAGTAGATTCTTGTGAATTTCTAGTATAATGATTTCGTTCGTCGCTCACATCATAACCGTTGCTTTATATAACCGAATATTATTCAGATGATTCATATTATGTCATTATTCACAGAGTGAAATAACATCTCAGTGAAATCTGAGATTTCGATGTAATAAAGATATATCAAGAAAACTATTTTGGTATGCAATAAACTATTTTCATTCCATCATGTATGACAATGGATGATCTTCATACAGGGTGATTTCCAAAATTGGTGACATACAGTGTGACCCACTCCTAATGGAAACACCCCTGTATCTTACGTATTCTTTGAGTAAGGATCCTGAAATTTGCTGGAGCGAGAGATATGACCAAGTGGGGTCATCTTCAGTGATATACACTCGTCGCCAACAACCATGGACCCTAACAACACAGAGATGTCCTAGGTACGTCCCTTTTTTGTCCCGCGGTACAAGGACATGATTGGAACATCCAGGAGATGACCCGCAGTGGTTGTCCAGTAGACATTCCGCCTGGAACATCCCTAGGTTATCTCATTCGAGTCCCTGGAATATCTGATATCCATTCACATCGAAGAGTCCATGAATTTCATCAAAATATTGAGTCGAATTCTTCCGAAAATGTATTTCATCCAGAAAATAATTGTTATGAAAATAATAATCTCAAAACTTCTCAAGAAATTACCATTTTTCTTAAGTAGTAAGTAGTTTTCTTCAGCTTGTCCTGCACTTTATTCACTCTGAGAGTGGAGATAGGAATCTCTTTCTCCACCCACTCTGCTATTTTTGCATGTCCTGTTATTGTTCCTTCACTTGCCCAGTGTCCTGAGTCCCGCATCCTCAGGTGGGCCGTCATCGCCTCCTTCTTTATCCAGATTTGAAGCGAGCATTACTTCTAATGCTGCCGTTGGCGTCGTCCTCATTGCACCTGTTATTGCTAGGCATGGCATCCTCTGGACCTTACTTAGGTTCCGACCTATCGTAATGGTTTCTGCGCCAGGCCACCACACTGCTGACCCACAATGGATCTTTGGTCTTACGACTGCTGTGTACAGCCAGTGCATAATCTCGGGGTTGATGCCCCAAGTTTTTCGTATAACTCTCCTCAGTTGCCATAAGATAGCCACCGACTTTTGCATATCCCTATCCGCATGCGGTCTCCTGAAAGTCTGGAGTCCAGAACTACCCCTATAGGTATTTGACCTGTTGGATTAATGCCAACTCTTGGCCAAACATGGTGAGTGGCTTGAACCCACCCCTTTTCCTTCATTTGGTGAACAGGATCATCTCCGTTTTCGTCGGATTTACTGAGAGCCCTGATTCATCGCACTACCTCTCAATTATCCTGCATGCCACTTGCATGCGGTCACAGACGACTCTCAAGAATCGTCCGCTGACGAGGATCAGCCCATCATCCGCGTATGCTTGTGCCTCGAAACCTTCATCTGTAAGCCTGCCCAGGAGTTCTTCCATGACTAAACACCATAGGTGGGGGGAGAGGCAGCTTCCCTGAGGACAGCTCTCCCCCACTACGACGCCCATCCTTTGGTCTCCCTGTCCTGCCTCCAACCTTCTGCTGGTCAGCGACGATACCACCCAGCTGACCAATGAAGGGGGAGTTCTCCTGGTTTCTAATGCCGAACGTATCATCGCTATCCTCGCCTTGTCGAAAGCTCCCTCTACGTCGAAGAACACTCCTAACGTCACCCCCTTGAATTTTAATGTCTTTTCGACCCTTCGCACTATGGAGTGAAGGGCCGATTCGGTCGACCTTTCCCTCATATAGGCGTGTTGGTTCCTGTGAAACGGACTCACCCCCAGGGGCCCCTCCATAAGGAACCTGACTACTACCTTTTCTAGCGTTTTCAGCAGGAATGGCGTAACACTGATGGGTCTGAAAGACTTCGCTATGGTGTAGTCTTTTCTTCCCGTTTTGGGGATGAAGACTACTCTTACTAACTTCCAGACTTCCGGGACGTATCGGCCCGAAAGATCCTCCCCAGTATTGGGGTAAGAAATTTCAGGCCCCTCTGAAGCATTGCCGGAAGTATTCTGTCTGGTCCTGCAGCCTTATATGGTTTGAACTCGTTCACTGCCCACCCTATGGCATTGTCGGTAGCTTACTGGTTGTCACCAACTATACTCGGAAGCAAATCTTTGGAGGATGTCGTCCAAGTACCATCTGGTTTCCTCAGGGTTGTGATACTGCCTTCTGCCTCTCTGCTCAGAATACTTATGAGTCGGCGGATTCTGTGAGGGAGTTGATCTCTCCACAGTACGTTTTCCAGCTTGTTCTCTCATTTTTTTTCAGGTCCTTTTCGAATGCTCTTCTCGCGGTCTTATATTCGTCCCACGCCATCTCGTCGCCCGCCTTAGTAGCTTTGTTGTGGGCCTTCCTGGTATCTTTCCTCAGATCCTTCAGTGTCTCATTCCACCAGCGCACTCGGTGCTTAGGAATAGCTCTCAATGGACATGCCTCTTCAAACGCCTTCGTCATTGTATTTCCTAGTATTCCTACTCCATGGTCGAGTTGTTCCTCCGTGCGGATCTTCGCCTGCGCCATCGCGTACTTTGGGAGTCCTTCCAAGAAGGTTCCATATAACAGTCATATCTCTTTTTCATAACATTCCTACATATTAATTACATAACATTTTCGCAAGTATGATTATGTTTATACAATATCTTTATCAAATTTATCTTCAACAAACGGGCGTGACATCGACCATTCTAATGCAGTATTCTTTGAATTTTCACGAACGAACACGAACGATAGATAATCAAGCTGTGCTCGCTCGAAGGTCGAAGGGGTCTCGTGTCAAGTTAGAAACAGAATGGCGTAAACGCTATGTTCTGTTGTGTTATTGGTACTCGACCAGCGAGTTGAGCTAGTTCCTTGAGAATTGAGCTATCTAAGTCTCAGAAATTTGATTGGAACGTGGAATACTCTATCTTGGTGAGTTGAATTATATGTTTAATGAATGTTTTTTTACATAAAACAAGAAAACAAGGTCGGCAAGGTAGATAATAGTCGATTATCACATTCATCAGCAATTCGAGGTACCTTATTGTTCCAATAGATATCAGCCAAGTCAGAATTTTGAAGAGATTTCGAATTTAATTATCGTTAAATGTCATTGTTTCAGATCACCAATATAAAATCCATAGGCAGCAGTGTGATTAAGAGATCCAATACCTAATGATTTTGAAAGATGCTTCACAGCAACTATCCCAAATTATTTCTAGTTCGAGTATTATATTAGTATGACCGAAGTGAAAATATGAAAGCGGCAGACTCAACCTCTAAGAATATCTAGTTGATAAAGTTTCACTATTTGTGAAGTATTTTCTGTTCAATGAAGTAATAATTAGTCTTATGTGTTCTTCCTCTTATTTATAGTAACAAGAGTATAATAGTCATCTCTCAATATTAGCGACACGTGACTGTAAACTACATTCTGACGTCACATTGACTACTCATTGATTTAACAATAATATAACTAGTGTTACTTAGTAGTAATGTTAGATATGATGTAACGTGATGTGGACATTATGCACAGTTAGCTCATTAATCCTGAACCCTTCTCGTTACCTTTTTGTTACGTAACTGATCAACAAAATTATGTAATGTTTGTGCGTTAGTCACGTCAAGTTGTTCTTTAAGCTTCTCGTTCCGAACTGGAAATTTTGTAATGAAAGTGACAGTTGTCTGTTCGAAGTGGCAAGGCAATTGCCAGTTTAAAGTGACAATTGTCACTTCCAAAGTGGCAATTGGAGAAGTAATTCCGACTGTTTTGGAAAAACATAAGTTGATGGCCCTTCTACGCTTTCGTAGTTTTCAGATAAGTATCTTCCAATTCCAACTAGAAGTTAACTCACCTATACATCAGTCCTCCTGTACATGATTCCAAAAGAGCTCCACCAAATACACAAACGTAGTATTGTGTGCAGTCATCTGGGTGAGGATAATATCCGAATTCTTCTGGGCAATTGAAATTAACCCCAGTTTTGATTTCCGTTGTGACTCGAATGTTTTTGGCCAGTCTCCTTTCAGACGAGGCGATTCCTGCAAAAAAAAAGATGTTTAGTAAACTCCAGGAAAAATGTGTATGAACTTTGTGATATTTTGATGCATACAAGATGTTTCATTGAATAAGGTAAATATTTCAACTGTGAATAGAGGTCACTAAGGTGATTTCAAAAAACCTATGGGTAATGAACTTCGACATCTTATGACCGAGGTACAATGTTTCATTCATTTTGCCCATATTTTTGTTGCCTCATCACTCTCCAAATAACCTGTATATTCCATTTTGAAAATTGATACTCCCATTCAATCTTTTCTGTGGAGATATGAACAAATGATTGAAAGTCCGGCTCCATATAATATTCACGAACTTCTTCTGCCCGAAAACAACACCCTATACATTTGGATTTTCGAATTTTTTGTCATTCATTTTTGGAGCTAGCGACAACAATGAATACAACTGGATCAAAATTAGACAGAACAAAACACAAAATTCAAAATACAACGTACCTAACGAAACACAAAATTCAAAATACAACATATCTACCCACTACATGATTCAATGAGTGATAAGAAAAAGGGAAAACCCTTTCAAGTACGCTAACTTCATACTCACTCTCATTAAAAACTCCATGACACTACCATAATCGTTCAGAATTAACTCAATTCTGTTGACTACACATTCTTGACCTCATAGAAATGTGGTTTACAGATTTCCTGATGACATGTGGGTTATACTAAATTTCTCCATAGGCGTTATCTCTATCAGGTCTTGTCTACTATTACCAATATTCTTTTTACCTTGTTACATTCTCACTGAGATCAATTGAGTTAGAAGGAGGTGAGACGGATCTGAGTTGTCGAATGAATAAAAAGAACACGTTTTTATTTGTCACCGTTAGAGTTGTAATAATATATTTCTATTGGATTTCATCACCTATATCAAGGAATTTTGGAAACGACTTCAACGGATTCAACCTGTGGACTCAAACTTCAAAGCTGAAAGCATGTTAAATGAAAATATAACCTGACAATTTCCAGCACAGAACCACAGAATTACTAGAATTAATCCAGTCTCACCTTTTTCTCACTACAACACCAGACGAATAGCAACCTCAGTTGGGGTGAGGGGGAAGAGGTCTGAAGACAACTCGTATCAGACTAAGATAAATGAAACATGTAAAACAACTGAGCTATCGAACTGCACTGAGAATCTTTGTTAATCTCAGTCGAAGTTGGTAAAAAGAATATTACTAATGGGAGTAGAATGAACTGAGTACTTCAGAATTGAAGTCCGGTTATCTTGCAGGCCAATTGATAGGACACCCTCTGCCTATTCACGTATTAGGAAAATTTGTATTCAAGAATTCCCTCACAATAATCCTGTGTTGCGTCTAGACATGCATCGTGCATAAAAGACGAAGGCTAGAGGCAGGAGATGGAATTCAGAGAATAAATTTCAGCAGGTGGATCACCAGAAACCGACGAATTATACGTAGATGTCTCTCTTCCGATAGGCTCACTTGAGAAGAAATGGTGTGTTCAACGGCACTGGGACGAAATAGCGCAGGACAAAATAGCGCAGGACGAAATAGCGCGGACAAAATAGCGCAGGGACATAATAGCGCAGGGACATAATAGCGCAGAGACAAAATAGCGCAGAGACAAAATAGCGCAGAGACGAAATAGCGCAGAGACAAAATAGGTTAGTTTGTTTGCTAGGGTATAGACTCATTTTGAAACACCTTGTATTTGAAGAATGAGTATTTACTCTAACAAACGAACAAACCTAATCATAGATCCTGCACCCCATTTTCGCGCGCAATTTTGTTCCTGCGCTATTTCGTACCACTACATAGTTTATGAATTGATAAACAACACAGACACAATGAAGCAAATCGACAATATATATATAAATGTATATTTAATAACAAAAATAATGATTTTTAACTACAATGAAAAACCTATTTTGTCTCTGCGCTATTTCGTCTCTGCGCTATTTCGTCTCTGCGCTATTTCGTCTCTGCGCTATTTCGTCTCTGCGCTATTTCGTCCCTGCGCTATTTTGTCCTGCGCTCTTTTGTCCGCGCTATTTTGTCCTGCGCTATTTCGTCCTAGTGCCGTGTTCAACAGTATATGGTTCGAATTTAAAAACTCGCATTATGTGGTCAGTAGATAATCAATATACTACAATGAGAGGAGCCCATTCGAAGTATACATTTCCAGTGAATGTGTGGTACGGCATTCACGAAAAACACTGACTGGCAAAGTTAACTTGGATTTTCACAGAACATTTCACCAGTATTTTCAGACGATGCTGGTGAGGACGTAGCTGGTTATTTTTCCAGCATGATGGAGCTTTTCCACATCACAGGATTATTGTGAGAGAATTGTTTTATACATATTTTCGTAATACGTGTAAAGGCGGAGGTGGTCCTATCAATTGACCTGCAAGAGATCACCGGAATCAAATCCTGTGGATCACTCTATTGGGGTCATGTGAAGTCCTGAGTTCATTCTACGCCCATGAATATAAGAGAAGACTTGATTGAGAGAATAAAAGACGGCTGGGAAAAAGGAATCAGGAACAACTCAGATGTCATTAGAAAATTTGACTAGCTCATTTTTATAAGGAGAAAAATGTATATCCCACAGAATTTAAGGAATTACCCTTCGTGCGCTCCGAGGCATTGAAATAATTGAACCCAATTATTGCAGTGTTGTGGTGTTTTTCATGAGAGAGTGTACTATAAAAAGTTCTTCCTTTTTTCATGATTGATTGAATTGTTACGTAGTGGATAGGTACGTTGTATTTCAAATTTTGTGTCGTGTAACTATTGTCTATTTTCAATTGAGCTGTACCTACTTATTTTCCTCGAGTATTAAGAATTGTCTTTTTTTAAGTGTTCTGGTTTCCACGAGACGGGGATATCCTGTAATGTTCAGAGAACATCGCGAGAACCAAGTGAAATAAGGTAGGAATTGGTGTTCTTCTTAAATTTCTGAAGGTCTATGCACGAATAGAAGTTACACCGTTGAATATACATTTTGGTGCTATTTTCAGATGAGACAAAAAAATTTAGATTTTATAGGGTGTTGTTTTCGAGCAGACAAAATTTGTAATTATATATGAAGCCGAACCAGGATTCTACTTTCTGTTGATGCTTCATTCAATTCGACAGGATGAATTGAGTTGGTGTGTACCAATTCCGAAAAAAAAAACGGGTTGGTTAGAAATTTATCAGACAATGCAGATATTGGCAAGACTTATGAAACATTGCGGTACCAAGAAATCGAAGACCAATCAACCATTGGTTTTTTGAAATCACCTACCCACAATTGAAATACTAACCGTTCCCAATGAAATACCCTGTATATATAACAAACTGTGCCGAAGGCTATAGTACACAAACTCAACTATCTTTGGAATGAAATCTCAATCGTGTCTGGTTACCTTCACAGCAACATCAACTTGAAGTCTATTGGACTTTCAATAGATAGCCTTCTAATCTTTGAACACATTCTTTTTGATCGAGGTTATCTTCATGTCTGATAATCTTGATGAAATCTTTTATTCTTCATTACTATGACCATTTCAAAATCACCCTGTATCTTATAAACAGAAATATAGGTGCAGAATCTGATCAGGTCATAGTTTCCCACGCGATACGAAATGTATGGCAACGTCGCTGCCCATGAACACGGTTTCTTTATAGAAACATTATTCTCGCCAACCATGTACATAATATTTGTGGTAATCGATGGTTGTTTCTGTTGAAGTGCAATCTGTTTTTTTTTTTTTCGATTCTTTCGATGATTAGTAGAAGGTTTCTGTTAGTGTGAGTCTTATTATTACTTATATGAGAACGTTTTTTAATTTTTCAATAAGAACATCTCGAAATTGTAAATGATTTTCATATTCGTATTACGTGCAGCAGTCTCCTACTGTATGGAGAAGGTTGATTCTGCACCGAATTTCAGTTGGCAAATACGCTACTTCCTGGGTGTACAGGTATATTTACCAAGATCTCCACTGACTACCAAGTAGCAGACTGAACTCATGGCAGACATGATTCTGCTATCTGCTAGTGAGAAAACTGATAATTGATATTAGTTGATGAAATAATATGTGGAAAATAAGCACATGTTGAAGGAAATAATTGGTTGATTTTATGCAATCATTCTCGCAGACGATTACATACACAGATGATGAAATGATTTGATTGTTTCATGTGAGCCGAACTTTCTAATTCTCCTACTTCTCAAGTACGATTTGATCATCAATTTCATTACCATCAAATTTGTTTAAAATGTACCGAAGTCAACGGTCTAGTAACTACAAAATATTTAAAAGATATCGCAATTGACTGGCTGCTTTATAGTGATTTTTTCAACGGTATATACCAAATGATTCTATGATTTATGTTTGATCATCAGCAAAGATATGACAAGAAGTGCAGAGGTCAATTACATGTTCATTTAATGATGCACTCGGAGACAAAAAATGAGTGTTATAATATAACTAACTATAATGCTGTATTGAAAAGGAATATTCTCAGATATATTCATGAACACCCAAAAATGGATATATATATTCATTATCATGAATATATCTGAGAATATCATGTTTCAATACTTTCACCCAATCAAGGGGTCCAAACTTGAACGATGGAAACTTGTTATTTTTATAGACCCCAACCGCAGATTCGTGATTACGTATTCTCAATTCAGAATTTCTTTCCACGTCCTGTATGATAAATGTCAATTTATCATATATCAAAAAAAATATATTCAATTCTGTAATTGTACAACTGAAAATATACTCAATGTGATCCATTATCGATGCATCTGAACAACTGATCTGCTTATATAATACATTATCTGCTGTGATGATCACGGTTCTTCAAATAAAATAAATCAACATGACATATAATTTCATTGAAGTAACAAAATATTCTGTTATGATGAATGTTATATCAACAAAACATATTTTCGAAATGACAGAATATTTCGAGATAACAAAATATAAGTAGTGGAAG